AAAGAATTTTCTTCTTAAGATTGTCTTTAATAAATCTTATTTATCAAAGTAATTAAAAATAATTTCTAATTAAATAATATCATAGTTTTATTGCATTTTTATATAAATATTCAGTGCAGATTTTCAGCGAAAGGACCAAGTGTTTTACAAAAAAATTGATGATCTACTTTCTTCAAGGAGTTCTGCTTTTAACTCAAAATGTACCCGCTATAAAAATTTAATTTCTCGAAATTTCGTGAAATTAAATGGGTTGCAACATACGGAAAAAAAAAATTCAAGATTTTCAAAAAAAAAAACAATATTTCAAAAATAATTTCATTTATTACTGAATATGTTATGAAAATGTCATTGAAGTCAGGCAATTATTTTATTTTTGCATGAATTTCGAAATTAATGTGTGTTTCACCAGAAAAAAAGCGCAAAAATAAAAGTAACCTTTATATTTGATTCGGCTGCTGACGTAAATAAAACAAGATTTTTAACCAAAGTTCCAACGTGCTACAAAGAATTAAATTTTTCAAAAAATAATAAAAACAAATATTTCGGTCTTTCCTCTTAATAATAACATAAACATTTTAATGACAAAACTTAGTTTTTTCTTGAGTTTGGGGCCTTTTTCACCATGCTATGCTGTTTTTTACGCGACCAAGTGGAGGTACCTACTATATATATATATATATATATATATATATATATATATATATATATATATATGACAAATCATACGTTAATATATAAACTATTGGACAGTTTCTTCACACACTGTGTTAAAAAAAGCTCTTGTTCGAACACAAGAAAATTAAATAAAAAGCTTAACCGCTGTAACTTGTTTGTCATTTTTTAATGAAACATGCATAAATGAAGTATTGCTGCCTAAACACACAATATATATATATTGGGCAGCTCTAAAAAATGGTCGAGAAATCTGGTGCCGATATCGAATTTTTAATAAAACCACATGATAAACGGTTTCCGCTCATATATATATATATATATATATATATATATATAGTCATCCACATACATACTGTTTCGCTGTATCACAGCCCATCAGTGTGCCAGACGTCCGGTTGCCACTAGCTAGGATCTAGCTACTGAATTGGCATCAATCGGGGATTCTACCACTAAACCGTTAGCGCACGGTAGTGATGAAGGTGAATTTAAGCGTATTTATTTTTAGATAAACACACAGTGACTGAGAGAACTCGATTCGATTTACCGGATATATACACCGAGTGTAACAGCAAAATTGTCTATTTCACAAAATGTTTAATATCTAAAAAAAAAAAATGAACTTATTGACTTTCTTTTTCCAGGTGTTAGATAAGACGTTTACCGACACCATAAGAATCACTGAAAAGCTTTTTGAGTCATTCAGCTTGAAAGAGAACAGGTTAAAATTGTTTTGTGTCAGCCTTACTCTCTCCCCAACTGAGAAATAGTGAGAGGAAAATGGTCATTCAGTCCTTCAGTAATGGCAGCAACATTCACACACAGGCTCCCGTCTTCAATGTCCATTTAAGAATCATCCAGAGAACGGTGAAGAAGTTTCCAAAAGTGGAAACAGTCGAAAGGAAAACTGGATCAGGAGGTCACCACAGGTCATCATCGTTACAACTTAGAGAGCTAAAGAGATCAATTAGAAAAGATCCAACTCAAGCCATAAGACTTTTCGCTCGTGAGAGAGGAGTATCAGATATGACAGTCCAAAAGCACTGAAAAAAAACTTGAAAATGAATTCGTGTGTGCCCAACTGACCCTATTATGCTGTGCAGTTGCCAAAACAAATTAAATAAAAACGAACAACACGCATTGACGAAATTTAAAATATAACATGGTGACAATTTACCATTGAACCATAACCCTGAGTAATATATATATATATATATATATATATATATATATATATATATATATATATATATATATATATTGTGTGTGTTTGTCGTTTCTTTGAAATCGTTCATGCAACAAAAACAGACTATCATTATTGTTTTGTCCGTGTATTGTTTAATATAATGAAATGTAACTGTCATCTTTGATAATGGCTTATGAAAGCCGAAAGCTTAGTTTGAATTTAAACATGTATCAATATGGTGATTTCCTTTCGTCTTTCAATGATAATGTTATTAAGGTTATCAGACAATATGAAAGGAATTTACTTAAAATAAATAAACAAAACTTGTCTATATTATTTAATGAAACATGCATCAATATATATATATATATATATATATATATATATATATATATATATTCAGCATTCACTACTGCCAGTAACTTATTATATAAAATTAGAAAATTATAGTAAAAACTGGTTGATATTGTAACCTCAAATGTAGCAATCACCAAATATTATATATATATATATATATATATATATATATATATATATATATATATTAAATATATTAGTTTATATTAATATTTATATTTATATATTAAATATAATAAATTTATATATTAAATATTATATATACAGAGTGTCCATAAAGTCCGTGTGCACTTTAAAAAATTATAACTTTATTGGATGTGCGATAGAAATAATTTGTAAAAAGGATTAGAAATAAGCAAATCTGTATTTTTTAAGGTTTTATTGCAATTTTATTTAAGTTTCCACATGTCCTCCATCATTAGCAATACAAAGTGTAACACGATTTTGCAGTTCACGGAAAACATTTGCCAACTGATTTACAGTAATGCCTGAAATCACATTAGTTATTTTAGCTATACTTAAAACTAGGTACATTAAACTTTATAACATTTTCAGATTATTTTATCGGAAATACAATATATAATTTTAAAGTGCACCCGAACTTTATGGACACCCTGTATATTAAATATATCATTTTTGCATATCATTTTCACTTTGGAATTAATATTTTTTCCAGTTAGATAAATAAAATTTTAAAAGTTGTTGTAATCATTATATAGTTTAAAATAATCATCTGGAAAAAATATTAAAATATAAAAAATTAAATATAAAAAAATAAAATATAAAAATATTAAAAAAATATTTTAAAATATTAACTTAGGAGCTCATTTATATTTGGACACTACTGTATAATTGCACATACGTGTATATACATACACAACCACACTGATGCATACACATACATAAATTATAGCCTTTTTGAATACATACAAGTACGCGTATATATATTTTTCGATATATACCTGTGCATACATATATACCACACACGCATATACACATCACATAGCTTCTTTATTATGCATACGTTTAAACAACCACAAATATATAAAACTATTTCTTTCACTTTAACCTAAGAGAGTGAAAGTGAGTATACGCCCTCAGGCGAAACGCGTCGTTAATAAGATTTTTAACTTTGTCTCATCATATATATATATATATATATATATATATATATATATATATATATATATATATTGTGTGTGTGTATTCGAATTCATTATCTAAATACCAATCAATATTTCTATCTATATTCATTTCAGTTCTATCTATCTGTATCCGCATTCATTAATTTTTCATTATCTCTCTCTCTCTCTCTCTCTATCTATCTATCTATCTATCTATCTATGTAAATTTATTTCTATCTATCCATTTCACTTTTTCATTATCTATCTTATCATTAATTTATTCGTTATCCTTCTCCCTTTCTACCTCTCTTTGTATCTATCTATCTATCTATCTATCTGCATTCGCATTAATCAATTTTTTCATTATCTCTCCCTTTCTCCCTTTCTCCTCCACAACCCCCTCTCTCTCACTAACTCTCTCGATATCTCTCTCTCCATCTATCTATCTATCTATCTATCTATCTATCTATCTATCTATCTATCTATCTTTTTCCTTCTATCTGAGCATCTATCCTCCTTCCTATCTCTTTCGCTCTTCTGATTCCTCTCCCTCCATCTATCTATCTATCTATCTATCTATCTATCTATCTATCTATCTATCAAATTTCTTATTCATTTCAGTTCGTTCATTATCTATCTATCTACCTGTATTTATATTTATTTCAGTTTGTTTATTATCTATCAATTTCTATTCTTATTCATCATTATTGGTTCATGATTATTACGTGATTTTTCATTATATATCTACCTATCCATGTCGATTCATATCTGTGTTCACAATCTCCTCACATGAAAAAGTGATTTGAAGCAACAGAAATATGGTTCTACAGAAGGATGCTGAGAATATCATTGACTGAACATGTTATTAGCGACAAGATTCTAGAGACAATAATAACATAAATGATACTGATGCTTGACTTCAGGAAGTGACAATTGGAATTGACATAATGAGGAAAGAGATCTTGGAAAATTTGATACTCACAATCATGACTGAAGGTCTAAGTGACAAAAGAAAGCAACGCACTGGCTAGCTTTAGTGAATCAATGGCGGAACAGTGTTTGATAGAAATGGCAAAAATACATAAGCTCTTAAGACCTACAAAAGACAAGGACATTCTTGAAAGCCATGATCATCAACGTCCTGAAGGGATAACGTATAAAAAAAAAAATTAACGAAAATCTTGAAGATAATAAGAGCAGACATTTTTTTTTAAAATATATTCCTGTAATGCCATGCCGTTGCAGATTCTACGAACCCGTATTCGGGGACATCTTGCGGGTGAAAAAGCGACAAAATATAATACGATAAATATGCATAGATTAGATATGGCACAAGGCCGAAAATATGGAGCACCCAGTAAAACTCAAACTTATTACTCTGTCGTAATTGATCTGGCGAGATCAAACTTGCTAACCATTACACCACGTCGGAGTGCCCTCTTTCTCTCTATCTGTTTTGGCTTGTTCATTCTATATCTACCAAGTTGTGTCTATTCGTGTATGTGCTTATTTTCTGTCCCTCTTGGTCACTTTGTATTCATCAGGGTCTACAAAACAAATCTGAGATGTGGCGCAAACTATGCAACACTCAGTGAGGATTGAACTACTTATTCGCAATGGATCTAGCGAGATGAGCTTGCTGACCATTGCAATACGTCGAAATGCATTTCTTTCTTTCTTTCTTTTTCTCTGTCTATGTATGTATATATTTATCTGTATTCGGATTCATTTCAGTTTGTTCATTATCTATCTATCTATCTATCTATCTATCTATCTATCTATATATATATATATATATATATATATATATATTCCCACCATTTCACTTTTTTCATTACCTATCTATCTACTTATCTATCTATATTCGCATTCATTAATTTTTTTCATTATCTCTTGTTCCCTCTCTCTGACTCTCACTGTCTCTATCTCTCACTCTCTCTCTTTATATATATATATATATATTACATACGCTCTATCTATGATATTGAGCACTTTATCCCGTAAATATTGCACACCTTAAAACTATATTTCTTCATATATATATATATATATATATATATATATGAAGAAATATAATTTTAAGTTATGCTATATTTATGGGATAAAGTGCTCAATATCAAAGATAGAGCGTGTGTAAATATAAAAGTGAACATTGCAGTCAACACTCAAAGGAGACAGGCTGTTTCATGCTAGACGCAATCGGTGGCTTGACGATTGCGTCTAGCATGAAGCAGTCTGTCGCCTCTGAGTGTTGACTTCAATGTTCACTTATATATATATGTGTGTGTGTGTGTGTGTATGTATTTGTACTCATTTCAGTTTATCTATCTATCTATCCATCTATATCCGTATTCATTTCAGTTTGATCCTTGTATATCTATCTATCTATCTATCTATCTATCTATCTATCTCTTTTTTACTAATCTCCACCCAATATAAGGCCCAAGAGACACTCAAGTTAAAAGGCTCCTGTATAAAGTTGTATTAGCGTAAGAAAGGGCAAGATAATATGAAAGCTAATTCCAGGTTGAAGAGGTCAATATTAAGTTAGTGAATGAAATTTTAAAGTTCAGACTGGGACGTTAGATGTATTGAGTTGAAGTGAAATTTAGAACGAACCAGAAAGACAATCCTAGAAAGGATATAACTGATAAATCTCTATCCCTACTCAAAATACTGGGGAGGAGTGTGAACCGTATCATAGACAAACTTAACAACTCCTATTAAAATAAGTATTTCAGTTATTTCCTAAAATAATCCTGCACTCTGTTTCATATCTAATGATCTATTGTTCCAGGAAGGTTGTTATCAATCTTCCTAAGAGATATTTGGAAAAATCCATATGTATTTTTTTTAAATTGTTGTTTTTTTCTTCTTTTCTTTTTATGCAAGCATTCTATTGGATAAAGGACAAATTTCCCAAGTATTAAAGGGGATCTCAAAGATTCAAGTTATAGAATGGTTGTGAATCAATTTAAGATATACAGAAAACTAAATTTTGACATTGATATTCATCAAAATATAATTTCCTAAAAACAATTGATTTCTAATAAGAAGTTGGGAACATGGCTAAAAGTTTAAAGTGGATTAAGTTCAGCTCGTTTAAGGGGTCAACTCAACCAAGTATTTGGAAAATGATGTACCTATCTATCTATTACAGTATTTTCTTTTTCTCTCTATGTATGTATGTATGTATGTATGCATGTATGTATGTATGTATCTATCTGTCTATCTATTTATCTATTAGAGTTGTTTTCCTTTTCTATCTATCTATCTATCTATCTGTCTATCTATTTATCTATTAGAGTTGTTTTCCTTTTCTATCTATCTATCTATCTATCTGTCTATCTATTTATCTATTAGAGTTGTTTTCCTTTTCTATCTATCTATCTATCTATCTATCTATCTATCTGTCTATCTATTTATCTATTAGAGTTGTTTTCCTTTTCTATCTATCTATCTATCTATCTATCTATCTGTCTATCTATTTATCTATTAGAGTTGTTTCCTTTTCTATCTATCCATCTATCTATCTATCTATCTATTCATCTAGTACATTTTTCCTTGTATATCTATCTATCTATCTATCTATCTATCTATCTATCTATCTATCTATTACAGGTTTTTTTTTCCTTTTTTATCTATCTACCAATATATCAATCTATCTATTACAGTGTTTCCTTTTCTTCCTATCTCTCTATCTAACTATTTATCTATCTGTTACAGTTTTTTCCTTTCCTGGGTAGTTATATCCTGTAGTTTATCGTAAATGTCCTGTTTGTTGCTGTTAAGGTTGTTCAATTTTTCTTTTGCTATTTCAATTTGGAGGAAATTACACATAGATCATCACTGTCTTGTCGGTACATTGCTTAATATGTTGTAATTGACATCTTTGATAATGGCTTATGTAAGCCGAAAGCTTAGATTGTATTTAAAAAAAATATGGATCAATATTGTGAATTTCTTTCTTCGTTCAACGATAATGTTATTAAACTTATCAGATGTTACGAAAAAAATTACATAAAATAAATAGACAACACTTGTCTATATTATTTAATGAAACGTGTATGAATATATATATATATATATATATATATATATATATATATATATATATCCCGGTAAAATTCCACTGTACGTAACATTTCATTTAAAAGAGCGCTCAATACAGAGTAGAGTTAAATATTTTTCATTTTAGGATATTAAAACTAAAACATGTTAAGAATCGCTACACAGTGGAAGCGCACTGTTGATGAGTCGCAAATAGGACCAAACAGTCGTCCAGTGCTTTCTACATTCTGTTGAAGTGTATTCTGAGCTCGATGAATTACTATATATATATCTATATATATATATATATATATATATATTAAACAATTTTTTATTTATTATTCCGGCAGATTTTATAACTCAAACGTTATTTTTAGTGGATACCTGTTTTTGAGTAGATGCTCCGTTTATTTATTAAACGGTATATTTATTTATTTTCGTCTACCGGGTTGAATATTTTAGAAATATTATTAAAGAAAAATATAAGCTCTCCGGCTGGATTCGAACCTGCGTCCCCCACCACCTTGCAAGAAGAAGCCGCCGTTGGATCGGACCAATTTAGACCGAATCATCCACGGATTATTAAAGATTCGAACCTGCGTCAGCCCTTGAGAGAAGAAGCCGTCGTTAGATACGACTTGATTTACATCGACTCAGCCTCGTCTATCAAACAAATATAAATAGTGCCTTATAAACGCAAATCTTCCTCAGGACAAGCACTCAGCCGTGCGCACATGATATAGAACCTTGCTTGACTCTACGTAGCCGAACGGGCAAAGCAAGACGGATCAGACGTGGGTGGGATCTCCTGCAAGGTTATATACCTTACCTCCCCGCGAGGTAGGATGTGGCACAAGGCCGTTTTTAATGCGGGGAAAAACCGAACCCATAAGCTCGGGCAAAAATTCCCCGTAGATCCCGTATACCCGGGGTCGGGTAGCTGTCTACCACTCTAGACGAGACTCTGCCCTTCAGCATAGCCTCGTCTGGGTTCCTCTATGCCCGAAGGTAGAGAGTTTTACCAGCTCGGCTGAAGACGAATCTCCAACTAACTGCCGAAGCAAGTCCTGCAAGGGAGGGCGCAGGTTCGTGAGTGAGGGTTTGAGCGTAACGGTCTTGCTGACACTGCTGACCCCGTTTAAAAGTGTAGTTGCATTATTAAACCCAGTTGGGCTATGTTGATTTTCTAAGAATAGCTTAGATGTGGCACGAGGCCAAACGTTTGGGTCAGCCAGTGAACTCACTATTCAGTTGTAATTGATTTAGCCAGACAAGCTTGATAACGTTTACACCACGTCGAAGTGGCCCACAACTATCGGTCTATGTGGGTGATGTGACGTCACTCCGGTCTCTCTGCCCCCGCGTCCATCGCCGTGCTATCCTGTGACAACCAATGTGACTTGGTATTGGTCGCGGCACCAAATGTGACGTTCTAACCCTTTGCTGATTCGGATGGGAATCTGGTTAGATTCGGTATCAGCTTTGTCGTTCCCAGCTCGCCTCCAACGTCTGGTTACCGAAGTAACTGCTTTGATTTCTAGTCTAACCTACCCACGTTGTGATTTGATCATAGGTAGACGAAATCAATCAGTCGCCGGGCCGCAATGCAAGCCGAGTCCGAGCAAAGGTAACACCGCACAAGTATATGTAAAAGAAAATAAAGTAACAACTCGGAAAGTTCAAATGTGTTAAAAAAAGAATAACAAATATTTTTATATCTGGTTTCTGAATACAGGACAGCATCTTTCTCCCAAACCGCTAATATGGATAGGTGACACTTTGTTAGGCGAGTCTTAACATCTTAAGTTGTTTTTTTTAGAAACTGGATTTTTTCTGTATCTTCAGGCGATATTCGTAAAACTTGTTTTGGTGGTGTGAGTCTAAGTCGTTCTTCAAAAATAAATTGTTCTTGGTTAGAAGTTGAAGTCGGGATGCATGGATCTTCAGTCAGCTTCCTGCGAGGCTGGTCTCAGAGCTCACAGATCAAATCTGTCTGCGTCTCTTCAACTTCAACTAACTTCTCTCTAATTCTTACTCGCTGCGACTCTGCTTATATGGACGCCGACCAAAACCGGATGTGGGCTTGTCGTGGTTTGGGCTTCCTCGATAATTCTAAATCCACAATAAGGATTTTCTTTGTTTTCGGACAGGAAACATTTATCACTTTCCATTTTTGGAAGTCCATAACTTTTTGCTCCAGTGGGGTTCTTAAGGGATTCGTCCTCCCAAATTCCTCCTTTCTCATATTAGTATCTCACACCAATCCCCTCATAGGGCGTCAACAGGTTTCCCTTCTTTCTCATAGTGGTATCTCACACCAATCCCCTCAGAGGCTTCAACAGGCCTCCCCTCCTTTCTCATAGTTTACCTTCGCCTACCGCTCATGCCACCATTCGGCCAATGAACGCCCAGCAGCGTGGGTGTGGCTAGACTGGCCTCAGTTTAAAAATCTCGCTCAAAGGAAAAAAAAAATTATCTTCCTTTTTTTTTTCTTTTTTCTTTTCTTCTTTTTCTTTTTTCACCAGACCCCTACGACTCGTTGTGTGGTCCTTAATCTCTATCTTAACCGAATTTCATCTGGAATTCGTCAACGAGATTTTCGTCAAATAATCATTGGGGTTGGTCAAATGAATCTCCTTGTCTCCTTAATGCCTACGTGTTTCCGTCGCCAAAATCTGTGCAGGCAACAAATTCTTATCATGGCCAGCTCTGACATAAAACAGGTGTTTTTCCCAAAACCAAATGATATCTCCGAAGGATAGTAAATGGTTTAATCTTTCCTCTCTTCTTGGGTGGCCTTCAGCTGATGTCTTTCTCGGTCAATACGTGACCTGATTAATATTATCTCCCAGCTTCTGTTTCGTAGGGGCCACTTGACCAATTTGAAATTTTCATTATTGCCATGGGCAGATGGCTATCTTTTATTCGCCGCCTCGTAGCATAAATTAATTCGACAGATCCGAGATCTTATGAATTTCCTATCTTCCGCGAAAGAAAAAAAATACTTTTTCTTTTCGCAAAGGAAAATAAAACCTTTACCACTTTTCTTTGTTAAAAAAAAATAACATCGCTCAGTATGTCTTTTCGTGATAGCTTCTTCTCGCCTTAATTATTTCTCGCTTTTAATTTTCACGCGACCGCTAAATAGTGTCACAGTGTTGAACAAACAGAAAATGTGACTGGAAACGATCAACCAGCGTGGCCGATTACGACACGCTTGGGCGATCATCTCGATTCGTGATCAGCCAAGTGTGTAAGCCTAAGTGAATATAACGAACCTGGCTGAAATTCGAACTCTGGTCTCGGAGTTCTGATCCCGAGCTGATATCCATTACCCTACCCGCACATCCTAGCTTACAATACTTGGTATTCCGAAGCTGTCGATAGTGACCAAGCTCGATGTTGCTTAACTTCGGTGATCGGACGAGAACCGGTGTTTCAACGACATATGTAAGCAAGCCGATAACCATGGGGCTCATAATAAGACGAACCTCCAAGAAATTTGATCAGTGTAATGTGCCATGCGTGATACGTGATCATGTATCTTTGATACATGACTGACGAGGCAGTTTTTCTTTTTCCGACAGTAGGTTGCAATTTCTTTCTGCTTTAGACCAGTTGTCACCCAAGCCTGTCTGCCCTGCTTTTTACCCATAGCTAATGGCGGAGAAGAACAGGATTCATCCATTTCCCAAGGGTATTAGCACGCAAGTGAATGTAATCGGTTCGAAGAGATTTCTCAATCCAACGTTCCTCCTAAGTCAGTTATGTGCCATGCATGATACATACTTAGTCGATTATGATTTTGATACATGACTGACGAGGCAGATTTTTCAGGCAGTAAGTTGCCGTAGAGCAGTTGTCATCCAAGGTTACAGAACCCGGTCTGTCCTGCTATTTACCCATAGCTGGGAGAAGAAGAGGATTCATACCTTTCCCAAGAGTACTGGATTCGACTGGAATTCGAACTCGTCTCTCGGATTCCTCAATCCGAGCCGCTATCCATTACTCTACGTATTCTCATTCGAAAATATTTCCGAACTAAAGCTATTTACTTTAAATAATAAAGAAGGGATCGGATGGTAATTTCTAGATAACGAGCTCAAAATAAAAGGAAAAGACGAAAGTAGTCAAAAAGAAAAAAGAAGTAAAATTATGAGTAATTACGTAACGAATTCATCCAAGCTCCTCAAAATAAACCAAGAGTGTCTCTCTCTTAACTCCGTCTGCGTTCTTTTCTGTGCACGTCGCCTGTCTCTCCCTGTTTTTCGTGGCTAAAGAGGGGCGTAATCCGTCGCAATTATTTTGCGCAAAATACACGTTAATCGCTGCTTTGAAGGGCTGTTGAGGCGACAGCACGTGGAGGCCGCGGCGGGAAAAAAAAAAACTACGATAACGTTGACCACAAGATTTAACTCCCTTCCATCCTCATCTCAAACGATGATTATCTCTCTCATTCAATATTCTCTTTTCTCCTTCTCTCTCTCTCTCTCACGCGCACGAGCGTTCTTTCTCTCTGGCTTTATCATCGTATAGTGTAAACAGGGGAGGGAAAACGATTAAGGCAAACATTAAAACTAATAAGAAAAATGGAACAGTTACAAAAATTGAAATAAAAAATTGGAAACAAACGAGAAGAAATGAATTTGGAAAATAAAACAAGAGTTAAAAAGAGGGTAAGGTGAAGTACATAGGAAAGTAAATATAAAATGAAGCCTTTATATATATATATATATATATATATATATATATATATATATATATATAAGTTATGAAGAACTTGGTAATCCGTATGGGTAATCCCGAGGAGGATAAAATCCTGAGAGCTCAATGTAAATCCAGCGCTAATATTTAAAAGAAAAACAGACCACTTTAAGGTACCATTATAATAATTTATTTCACAAGAGCCCTTTTAAAGAACGGATCATCAGATAGCACTTCCAAAAATGAAATGAAACAAAAAATGAAATTAAAATTGATGGGTAGTGTAAGTTTTTGTAATTTAACAGAGAGTGTAAAAGAGGTAGTTAAAGTGACATGGTAGAGTTTAGGGAGGGGTTAATTTCATATCTCTCTCAAGTATACTTTGTATTGGGGGAGGAGGAGTGACTAGACCGTGACCTATTTAGACGGTTAACTTAACGGAAGTGATATATTGAAATGGTAGGGGAGAAGGGAGAAAAGAAAAAGGAAAAAGAAAGAAGAGGGAGAAGGAAGTAAAGAGAAAGAGGCTGTAATTGGGTTTTAACAATTTATGTAAAGAATAGATTTTAATACTTGATAGTAATTTATATATATATATATATATATATATATATATATATATATATATATATATATATATATATTTTTATGTTTATACCTTCTTTTTATAGATACAAATATTTAAGTAAATGCTCCGTTTATAATAAACAGTATTAAACAAGATTTACCGGCCTGAATGTCCGAGAAATTGTCATAGAAAATAGGCGTCCTCCGATAGGAATCGAACCTGTATCCTATACAGAAACCCTCATATAGCCTGATGCGCCTTTAACTGATTTCGCCACAGAAAAAACAGTAAAATCGACCTTGATAATCGAAACGCTTCCTCTACGTGGAAGTAGAAAAATCAACCCCCGTGGACGAAATTAAGGATTAGGTTCGAATTTCCGATTATGTGACGAAGGCCGGAGCTTGCAACGGCTTAAACATCGTGAATGTGATAACAAAGATGAGTCGGAACAGTGTAATAGTATATATAAATAGTATATATATATATATATATATATATATATATATATATATATATATATATATATATATATATATATATATATATAAAGAAATATATTCTTAAAGGTGTGCTATATTTATGGGATAAAGTGCTAAATATCAGAGATAGAGCCTGTGTAAATATAAAAGTGAACAGTAACGTCAACACTTAGAGGCGACAGGCTGTTTCATGCTGAACGCAATCGTCAGGTCACGATTGCGTCTAGCATCTTTCTTTCGCCTCTTCAATCTTCACTTTTTATATATATATATATATATATATATATATATATATATATATGGTGCACTCTCACGTCATTTTCGACGTATGAGTGTCAAGCAGGTCAGTTTCTAGGAACCGACAGCCAGACACCACATATGGTGTGATTATGGTGCTGAAGACTTTGTGCTGAATAGATATATATGCCAACAATATATATATATATATATATATATATACATATATATATATATATTCCAAAAAATGTCAATTACTGGTGAAACATCGGAAAATAAGAAAAGTAATACTTTTAAATAATGTGTAAATAACCACTCTTCGCCTGATGAAGTCAAAAGACCCGAACCCGTGTAGCAAACATATAGAAAATAAAGTATAATATATATTTAAAAAAATCCACATTGAAGCCAAAAACGTTTGCTACTTCTATCTTCTCTTTTACATATATATATATATATATATATATATATATATATATATATATATTATTAATGTTCAATCCTCGGTATGCTAATCAAGATCCAGCCGCATGTCCTCTGATCGGGAGATTGGAGCATCTGAGGAGCTTGGAACCACTTATTAATTAATGTTGTTCTCAGTTCCACCCTGATCCGATGTGGTAGCAGCTGTTAGCGTCACAGTTATGGGCAAATAGTGAAATTCCAAACAAGACACTAAATTATAAAAAAAATTTTATAATAAAAAATACCAGCAATACATTTTTATATAAAAAGTACCAACAGTACATATTTACAGTAAAATTAACAACAATGCATTTTTAAAGCAAAATGGCTAGCAATACATTTTATCTGTAGATGAAGGTATAAAGTTGCGTTCAAAATATATTTCGTCAAAGGCACATAATTGTGTTCTGATTATTTAGATTCCGGCATTAAATAACCCATATAGGTGTTGATATGCCGCTAAACAAAATCAACCAAACAGCCAACATGAAAGAAATATTTCATGACATTAATCCATATAATATCCTACAATTTCTTAAATAAATCAAAATGTATTCACAGATATAACATTAAAAAATCTACAACACACATATCACCGCCTCGAGTAAATATTTCCACACAAATATATGTATGCACAAACGCTGAGGATCATCTACCATGTATGCAATTGTGAAAGCAGAATAACATTTTTATTACTTGAAAATAAAATTTCGGCATTAAATGACCCATAGAGGTGTTGATATGCCGTTGAACAAACAAATCAATCAATTATTACTAATGTTCACGCAACACTAGCTAAGCGCGGAATAGAACATAGTTTACGGCCTTGTTTACTGAACTAACTTGTCACAATTACTGCACAAGAGAACTATATTGCGGGCGCAATAAGCAAGACAAGTCATAATTCTACTCGTATCTATTCAGCAGCGAATGTATGCAAAACAACGCCAGTAATGGCTTCCGCGATACGAATGAATCCAAACTTTTACTGTCGATAACTCTAAAACGGTAGATTTAATCAAATTTATCCAGTCAGATTCGAATGAAGCATGTAGAATTACGCATAAATGTAAGTATTCTGGAATTTTTTAGTGCGAACTGAGTGTGGGTGCTAAACTGCAAATAAACCATCGTTTCAACCACAAGCAAGGCGATAATGTTACTGACCGCGGGTTCTAAACTGAAAAATTAACCAAAACGATTAAAAAATAAATCTACTATTCTATAAAACTCTTGTAGTTTTTTATAAGAGATTTTTTTTTTTAATGAACAAATTGAATGTTAATTTTTAGAAGTAGGTCAAGTGAAGAACTCTTCTGTAACTTCCTGTGTTTTCAGTATCTTACCGAGTGGTGTTCGTTAGCGAGGCAAACGGAACATTACAGTCGTATATTGTTTTATGGCAATCACTGGATTACCGGTACTTCTGGCCTTTTACAAAGCAGGGTAAATACCTAGAAATATATCGAGTGTTAAACGGGATTGTAAAACGCAAAACCATTTTATCGGTAAGTAGATTTTTTTTCTTTTGAATTGGCTTCCATGAGATTGACATTTTATTTTTTTTTATCATTTTCACCCCGCCTTCTATCATTCTCATGTTTGTGTAATTATTCCTTAAATTTATTTATACACAACATTTTTTTTATATTTTAATATATTTGTTAATACTAACTTGATAATTCAGGTGAAGCGTGGTTAGTTCAAAAGTAATTCTTCAATATTCTTCGTATATAACACAATTTTTATGCATGAATAGAAGTAGAAAAAATATAGCCATATGGCTACATATAAACGACTCCTTTTTAATATATCTTAGATGAAGCATTGTCAATTATTATTCATTTTTCACTAGTATTTCTTTCATCTTCATTTCTCTTGCTTTTTATTGCAACTCCCATCCATAAGAAGTAGAAGTAGAGAATATAGCTATATGGCTAAATTTGAATGATTCTTGCTGGTTTGCCTTCTTAGATGAAGCATTGTCAATTATTATTCATTTTTCACTAGTATTTCTTTCATCTTCATTTCTCTTGCTTTTTATTGCAACTGCCATCCATAAGAAGTAGAAGTAGAGAATATAGCTATATGGCTAAATTTGAATGACTCCTGCTGGTTAGCCTTCTTAGATGAAGCATTGTCAATTATTATTCATTTTTTCACTAGTATTTCTTTCATCTTCATTTCTCTTGCTTTTTTTATTACAACTCCCATCCATAAGAAGTAGAAGTAGAGAATATAGCTATATGGCTAAATTTGAATGACTCCTGCTGGTTAGCCTTCTTAGATGAAGCATTGTCAATTATTATTCATTTTTCACTAGTATTTCTTTCATCTTCATTTCTCTTGCTTTTTATTGCAACTGCCATCCATAAGAAGTAGAAGTAGAGAATATAGCTATATGGCTAAATTTAAATGACTCCTGCTGGTTAGCCTTCTTAGATGAAGAATTGTCAAATATTCAGTTGCAAAAGTGTGAAAAAAAAACAGCTAAAACACCACAGTAAAATAAAAAGTATTTGACAATGTTTCGTCTACGAAGTTTAAAGAGAAGGAGTCCTTCAAATGTAGCCATATAGCTATATTGTCTCCTTCGTAAGTATAAGTAGTAATTCTGTCAGGAAATGGGGAAAAAGCCTGGGCGTAGATAAATATTTCACCTTTACTGACAGAATTACTACTCTCCCAAACAAAGGTATCAAGTAATCAAAAGAAATTGGTTGAATCCTTCAACACACACACACATAAAAAAAATTCCACACGTGACAGTACTTGACGTAATTTTCAGTTGACAATATGAATATAATAGTGTTTTCTAAATTCTTCCAGTTGCTAAGAACATTTTGTTTTGTATTAATAGTTACTTTGTTTTCAATAAATTCATTTCGTTTTTGCCTTGACAAAGTCCACAGTGAACGAAACGCATCGGCTAATATTACTGTTTTCCTATTGTCTTATATATATATATATATATATATATATATATATATATATATATATATAATTTACTTAATAGCATGATCCCATCGCTACACAGGAATTACCATGTTTCAAAAACAGAAAGAAACAAATTAATTGTA